GGGAGAGGGAGAGGGAGAGGGAGAGGGAGAGAAACAACGATGGAAGAGAGACACATTGATTGGTTGCCTCCTGCATGTACCCCTACCGAGTCCAGGGATAGAAACTGCAACCGAGGTAGGTGCCCCTGACTGGGAATCAAACTTGAGACCCTTTGGTGAGCCAGCTGATGCTCTACCACTGAGCCCACCTGCCCTGGTGCACACAGAATATATTTAATGAAGACAAAATAGTATTACACATTTCATAGTATACACAGCATATACATTATGCTATATATAAGAAAGTGTAAGAAGAACAAGAGTAGGAAAGGTTTAGAAAGAAACACACCAAGAGGAGAAGAATAAGATTGTGGATAGCGGTCACAGGTCTTTAGGTTTATGAGTAATGTTTTAATTTTTACAATATGAATTATTAATGAATTCTGGTATAATTTTTTAAAATATTAAGAAGCGGGAAAATGATTCTGGGCATACTGACACATTTCCAGAGTTCATGTGCTGATAATCACAAAATAAAATAAAAGCCATCTTATTAGTTTCAATCAACACCAGAAAGCTTAGCCTTAGCCTTGACTAAGCAGGAAATTAAATGATATCACATTCCTAAAACCCATCACCACTATAAAATTGAAGAAGTCATAAATACTACTTTAAAGAAGAAAGATTTTTACAAATATAATAAAACACCTGACGGAAAAGTTTCTAAGCCGAATTTCATCTGCCTTTAATAATCAGTATAAGCTTGGTGAGGGAATAGGTAGGGCTTATGAAGTGGGCTAGATAGGATCAAGTTCTTTGTGACTCTATTTTCTAACAGAAGTAGCTTAGGTCTAGGTGACTAAGACCATGAGGTGCAGAGCTGCCTCAATTTAAGTCAGGTCTCTGTTATATGAGAACTCACAACATGTGCTAGTTTCTTTGCTACTGAAGTTGTAGAAACTGATTTTCACTTTGAGATTCATAATAGCTGTACAGATCCTGAAGGGTCCCAATATACGCATATCCAACAAGATGTCCCTCAAAACTCTCTCCCCTAATGATAAGATTTGGCTGTCACCAAAATTCAGCACTGAGTAAATTAAAAGTTGAAAGTTTAAAATGGACTTCTCCATATCTCTCTGGTTTAAAGTTCAAAAATGGTGTTACTCTTTTAAAATGCCAATGTAACGACTATTTTATAGCCACTTTCTCTTATATCGCAGGAAGGGCTTATGAACTAAGCAGCCAGAATACCTACCTTGAGGTCTTTCGGGTTTCGAGGTAAAGACTTCTACTGTTTCTTGATTTTTGTGAAGCTGCACCTGATGCTGGAGTGGAATTTCTCCACTGGCCATTTGCACTCTGGCCAAAGGTTCTTAAGTCTCCTGAGCCAAGAAAACTGTCTAAGGAAGGGTTATCTAAAGAAATAAAAATTTGAATAAATTGAATACCTACAGTGGTTCTCCATATGACTGCAACCATGTCCAACATTGTATTCTAAAGTAATGTGGCATATTACCATGTCTCTCATGGAAGATCCCAGTCTCAACTGCCAGTAAAGTCTGCAGTAAGGGAACTTCTATAAACTATAATTGATTCAGCCATACTAACCTGAAAATTGTTGAAGGAGCTGAATCCTGCCACAGCCATGTGCCTTATCTGCATCAATGTGACTCCGTGGTGTCCACCAAAAGTCAACATTTTACCCCAACTATATCTTGCAAGCACTCCCAGGCCTGGGCCTGAAAGAAGGTAGGCCAGACCAGTAAGAAAGCAGGTGGAGGGCCGAGAATTGTAATTCAAATGAACAACAGTTATTGCTTAATAAGCAGCTGGTATCTCCTGTTTTTAATTACCATGTTCACAACTGAGAGACTCTAAGAGCAGAGATAACCTAGCTGCTGCTTATTCTGGCCAGCTTATGGCAAGAATGACCCATCATGTTCATCTGGTTCTGATATGGTATCCTTCAGTCACTTAATGCCATAATCAACAGACATATCAATACTCCAATGCTTGCTGCTGCAATCAGGCTAAGTGAGAATTATTTCTTAAATTTTCTGACTTGTGGCTTACAAGCAAAGATGATAAACATAGGGTGTCCCCCTAAAAATGTATACACACACTTTAAATAATTATAAAGTCAGTTTTTATTAAAATAACATTTCATTTTCAAAATTGAGCTATCAGCTGTTAAAGTGTATATACATTTTGCGGGGACACCCTGTATTTCCAAGTTTCAGCTGAGAATAATTTCTATACCCTCCTCTCCTAATCATCAGGACTAAACAATTTAAAACACCTTCAAAATAACTTCAGATGTTAGGCTTTGGAACTGAGAGGAGCATCAGTGGAAAAACAAGAATGATAATTCTCTACTTCCTAAATTTTTTGTTCTATCTACATCACATTGAAGATCTTCTTTCAAAGCATATTACTATAGAACTTTGCACATTGTGTATTTACGTTATTTAAAATATTTAATGTAGCTCTTGATACTCTCTCCAAAAAGTATGGCGGCTGAAAAAACTGTAAGTTTTGTATTATGTTGTTTGTTTTCAATTGATCAGGATTATCAGGATTCAGGGTAAGTAAGATATAAAAAAGCAGCAGTCAGGGTGGTATTAGTACCAGTTGATTCACCAGTGGATAAACCTAATCTAATGATTAAATTTACTTTCAAAATGAATTATAACCTTTCTCCTTTGTAATCATGCTTAGCATCTATTACCATTACTTTCAAGATAGAGACATGAGGCTAATGAACATGAGTCTCTTAAATAAAGGACCAGAAAATTATCTTTAAATTAAATGCAAAGTAATAATAGAAATTTTTGTCTCTCACACTTTTTGCTAAAATTTGATTAGGGAATGGTCTCACTAGAGATGTCTACCAAAAAATGAAAATTACCCTGACAGATGTGAAATTTGAGACTAAGGATAAACCAGAGTAGCCTGCTCAAGGGCATGTGACAGACTTCAGCTTTAAAATGCAAGAGAACCCAGCCGGATGTGGCTCAGTGGTTGAGCATCGACCTAGGATCCAGGCCATCGGGGTTCGATTCCCGGTCAGGGCACATGCCCAGGTTGAGGGCTGCAGCCAATCAATGACTCTCTCATCACTGATGCTTCTCTCTCTCCCTCTCCCTCTCCTTTCCTCTCTCTGAAATCAATAAAGATATATTTTTAAAAAAATAAAAATAAAATGCAAGGGAAAGGCACAGAATCAAGCAGTCTGTTTAACCAGAATAAGGTGGTTCTATCCCTACTCAATGAAATCACTGAACAGTCCTCTATTGCTGATGTGATCAAACAAAGTTAGAGAGGGACCAATGGGATTGCTGACACTCATTTTTTGGTGAGATTTAGCCTGGTATTCTGTCATCATTAAGAAATGAGACTGCCTATGCCACAAATAAGATTATTTACCATGTGCACATAAACACACACAAAACTAAAATTTAATTTTGGCTCTATTCCAATAAAATAATGGGTATTTTCCTACTTTTCTCTATTAATTTTATACAGGACAGGCAATACTTTTATGGACATAATCAAATAAACTTTATGTCTTTAAAAAAGTATATCAATCACTTACTATGAAAGTAACCAACAGTAGTTCCTGTTAACTTCAGGACTTATTTAGTTATTATAAACAGCAGGATGCTTTAAATCATCTTACCTACTAAATGCCAGTTTGGCAACCTAATTTAACATATTTTCAAAGAGAAGACACTGATAAAGATTCTAAGCATGAGCAAAATCATTTCACCTTACTCTACATTTCTTTGTTTAGGGTTTAAAATGTTTTAATTTTCTTTTCAATTGTACTCTTAATAAAATCAAGAGGTCTTACAGCCTGACCAGCACCAAGTTATTAAAGTGAAAGTGCTGCATTTTCTCTGGTTTCTAAAAATTGTTTTTAAATCAATTTTTTAATAATCTAAAGTGGATTAAGAAGCAGATTGTTAAAAGCTTGATATGCCTCTCTGTCACATGCCATTGAGAAGGCTACTTTATATCAAGAGGCAGATCAAGTAAAGCAATAAGAAAGCTCAAGATCCTACATTCTAAATTTTGAGGCTTTCCTGTGTTCGTTTTCATTTTGGTGAAGGAAAGGACAGGAAAGTGAGAGAGGAGAGAAATATCAACACAGTCAGAATGAGAAAACTAAGGCAGGTAAACTTGGGAACCATTGTCTAATCTAGCCCAATCAAGAGGTAAGGCTCAAAGTGACTGACCACAGAAATCAATGTGGAGATTGTCAGAAAATAATACATCCAAAGGAGATAGCAGAGACAAAATTCCGTAGGACATGCAATGAGTTGGAAAAGGGGTATGGCAAAGAAACAAAGTTTTAAAAAGTACATGGTAAAAAGTAGATTTGAATTAAAGACTTCATTATAAGAAAAAGGTATATAGACCCTTGGCATTCAAGACTTAAAACTCTTGTTGCTAGGGAGTGACCCTAGAGGTTTGTGACATGCCTTTTTTTTTTTTTTTTGTCAGTGACTAGGGGAAATTTGGTAGAGGCAAACTGCTTCAGGCTGTAATTTAAAGAATAAGTCTAATAGCTCAGCATCCACATTTCAATGTGGCCTTACCATTCACTTTTGTTATTCTCCATTCATCATCATGTATGCAGTAACTATTATAAAAAGTAACTTTTTCTTTTCCTAAAAAGACGGTCTTTAAATGAGAGAAAATGTCAGTGTAAGATTTTAAGAGGAGGATCAACTTGTTGTATAAAAACAAATATAGGAAAAATGTAACTCTCAAAAATCACACAGCTGAGATGAAAAGCAGGAATTTGGTCAAATATCACTATAGTTAAGAACATGATGATTTGAGATTACAAAGGTGAGTATCAAAGGTCTACTAAAATTTTTAAAAACATGCTATATATAACATGTTTTTAAGTAATGTGATTTATAAAAGCTGAAAATGGCAAGAGTGAAGGGGACCTAAATTACAGGGAAAACAATAAAGCAAATGAAGGCACAAGCTCATTATCCTAAATCACAGCCCCTTGGGTTGAGTTGTTTCAGAATTAAAATTTCTGGAATTTTAGAAAGATAACCTGGAATATACTATGTAATGCTTCCACATAAGCTGAAGCAGCACAATGTAATCACACATACTGATATATGTGCATAAAATGTACGAATGTTCATATTTACAGAGATAGATAAAAGACAAAATATAAATAGTTTCATGTTAGTTCATGTAGGTTTTGCCAAGGAATGAATTCAGGTCAAGTTTTGATGCCAAATGAATTATGAAAAAAAATGTTGGTTTTCAGAGCCTTTTGGATTTTGGAATTGCACATACAGAATTGTGAATGTGCCCAGCTGGTGTGGCTCAGGTGGTTGAGCATCATCCCATGCACCAGGAGGTTGCCAGTTCCATTCTCTGCTATCAATAAAATCATATTTAAAAAATAAAAATAAAAAAAGAATTGTGAATGTGCATATCAATTCCATGGATTATTAGAAATTAACAGAAAAAGGTAAATATGAAGAAACACATGAAAAAAGATGGAAAGTAAAAATAAAAATATTGGGCTAAAAACAGATTATAAGTACCAAATCATACAATGTACACTAAGCCTGTACACAGAGGTAAAAACCAGAAAAGGCAACAGAGTTAAGAAAGAGTTGAATTATGGTCAAGAGATTATGAATATAATTTTCTCTATATAACTGTTTATTATTGAGCAATTATTTTTAACTAAAAGCAAACATTATGCCCAATGGTAAATCAGCACATGAAATTACAAGGAAACACAACCTGAGTTCAAATGGAAATATTAATGATCTGATTTCATTATCCACTCAACTGTCCTTCCTCTAGGATTAACAATGAGCTATCAAACCAGATTTCAGGCTTTCTGCTCATCAGGAAGGATTTTTCAATGATGATGATGACTGATTTTTCTAAACAAACTAAGCACATTCTAATGTGGAGACCATTTCCCATGCTAGGAGAGGAAATCCAGTACCCGGGATAAATTACCACCCACCTAAATGACACTTAAATATAATGTAAATCTAAAAGAGCATCATACTAACGTCTTTTTAGGGGAGGAGATCTCATCTTGCTGACAAAGAATCCTGAGGAAGCCAAATAACAATAATTATTATTTGCATTTCATATTTATTATCTCAATTTACCCTCATAAAAATCTCACTGAGGCAGGTTCAGTGGTATTACTAATATTCCCACATTTGTGATAGGGTGAGGAGACTGAGCAGGAGTGAAAAAAGATAGGAGGACACTAATATTTTCCTGGGTCATACTGCCAGGAGGCTAACGAACAAAACTTTTCATTTCCACAAAACAGAGCCAGGAGATCTTTGGAAGTCCAAACCTTAGGAAGGGAAGATGCAAAGTCAGGTGGACCAGGGGCTAGAATAGCCTAGAGAATGCTGACTTCTGTCATGGATCACAAGTTGAATAGGCAAGCCCTTGAATATGCAAGCATGGCTGTGGCAGGTGCTAGACAGAGACATGTAGTTAACATTTCCTGCCCTGATGGAGGGATAAACTTGGGCAGAAATAAATTTTCAGAATTCATAGTTTCAAGCAGAATAGAAACAGGCTAGCTGTGAGCTTTAAATCAATACAAATAACCTTTACATCATATAGACATATCTTTAAAAAAAAAAGCTGTAGCTTTTTACAATGACATAATGAACAAGTAGGAGAATGAATTTCAAAACAACTTTCCCATTAAAAAATTTTTAATTGAGACCAGATCAGTAAAATATCATAACAACCACATACACAGGCACATATACACAGCTTATTAAAATGATGTTTTAGTTGAGAAAATGCGATTTTGCTTTTGACAATGCTTTCATACTTTTAGAGATAGTAAACACAAGTGATGTGCTAGGAAGAAATCTGAAAGGTATAAATGTCTTGACTCCAAGTAATGTGTCATACCTGAATAATAATTTGGACCATAAGCTGCACTTCTTGCAGAACATGTATAAGAGCCATCCAAATTTCCTTGCCTGGAAGGTAATATCTAAACAAAGCAGAAGATTTTTCTTAAATCGTATTTTGACAATAAAATGAAATAAGAATTTATACTAGAAAAAATATATCATTAAACAAGACTATGACATATTTCAGAATTCAATACAGGGTGGAGCAAAAGTAGGTTTACAGTTGTATGGGAAACACACTTTATTCTTGTATTATTATTTATTAATTATTGTATTATTTTCCATATGAACAGTGTAAAAACAGTGTAAACCTACTTTTGCCAACCCCTGTATAAATTATTTACAGATATTAGAAATTAAACAACATATTAATAAGAAGGAAAACACAGACAATCTAATAAAATGACTTAGGCTTCAAGAGGGAAAAAATGGGGAAAATATCTGTTATACAACCTAATTTAAAAAATGCTCGTGAGAAGATAAATACGCATTTAGTATATCCTGTTCCGAAAGCCAGTGTATCATATATTAAAAAGGCAGAAAAAATCAACCTGGTTTTGATTCTTTTGAAAACTTTAGTTTTGAATCAGNATGAGAAGATAAATATGCATTTAGTATATCCTGTTTCGAAAGCCAGTGTATCATATATTAAAAAGGCAGAAAAAAATCAACCTGGTTTTGATTCTTTTGAAAACTTTAGTTTTGAATCAGGGGTGGTGCTGTACCCCAGCATAAATCTGGAAATGTGTGAATATATATTCAGTTATTAAAATAATTATTGGGGGCAGATGCTACAGGTATTTAGTACACAGGGGCCAGGGATGCTAAACATTCTGATAAGCTTAGGCCAGACTCACACAGCAAAGAATCACCTCATTCAAATTAGTAATGACTTTTCTACTGAGAAAGACTGCTTTATTAATATAGCTTCTCAAACTTTAATGTGCATATAAATCAGCTGGAGGTTTTAAAAAATGTAAATTCTTATTCAGCAGGCATGGGGTGAAGCCCAAGATTCTGCATTTCTAACAAGCTCCCAGGTGATGCTGAAGCTGCTGGTCCTTGGAGAATATAAGCTTTGTAGAACAGAGAAATCTCAGAACTGCTGTATATTTACAAATATACACACCCCATTTAATGCTCAACAATTTTATGATACTAGTTTAAAACAACACAGATCTGAGTATTGGTCATTGTAATATTCAGAGGAATAATAAAGAGTTTTCTCAAAGGTACTGTTGTCAAAGAATTCATGCAAAGCCTGGTTCTTGTCTTAACTTTTTAATATATTAAACAGAATTTCAAACTTAGGCTCACTGATTCTAAAAAGTTTACATCTATGCTTATACTTTTGAGTTTGGCATTTAAACTACATCAGATAAAAAGTTAAGCCAAATAATTCATTGAGGAAGGAAAATTATTCCTAACCTGATGGTCAGAAAGTGAAAGCTGGTCCTCCGGAAAACCTGTTTGTGACAGGAGATGGGTCTTGAACATGGAGTTGTGGTTCACTAAAGTTACTTCTCCAGCATCCATCCTCACCCTATCAGCAATATCATCTGGGGAAAGAGTCCGGGTTAGTTCAAGTCACATAATTCTTTAATAATTACTCTCTTACACACCAATCTTTTTACCTAATAAAAGTAACTCCCAGCCCTAGACAGGTGGCTCAGTTGGTTGGAGCATCATCCCACACACCAAAAGGTTGGGGGTTTGATTCCCAGTCAGGGCACATACCTAGGTTTCAGGTTCAATCCTCAGTCAGGGTGCATATGAGAGGCAATCGATTGATGTCTCTCTTCCTCTCTCTCTAAAAATCAATAAAAACATGTCCTCAGGTGAGGATAAAAATAATAATAATAATAATTCCTAAAGACCAGCCCTACAGTTAAATAAAACCTCTCCTTCATAAATAACCATTGGAAAGAAATCTCAAAACTGTCAAGAGCTAAATTCAAAATTTTTAAAATAATGAAATTTTCCCAAAAGAAATTTTTGAATGTTTTAACTATAGAAAACATTTTAATTATAAAAAGAATGGGGGGGAAATTCACAATTCAAAAAAGAAACACTTATTAATCTGGTTTATTTCTTCTAACTCAAAAAAAGTGCTTTGAAAGTTAATCGATCTAAAACTTTTTTCCTACAAAAAGCAGTATTTATTTGTATGGCTCTTTTTTAAAAAAAATATATCTTTATTGATTTCAGAGAGAGGAAGGGAGAGGTAGATAGAAACATCAATGATGAAAGAGTGATTGATCGGCTGCCTCCTGCACGGCCCCCACTGGGGACTGAGGCAGCAACCCAGATATGTGCCCTGACAAGGAATCAAACCTGGATCCTAGGCCGACACTCAACTGCTGAGCCACGCCCGGCTGGGCTATTTGTATGGCTCTTAACAGGCATTAGCTCAATTTCTGTAATATTATGGCAGAATCTTTATAACCATTTTTTGAGACCTTTGTTACTTTGTTATAAAAGAGCTAGAATAGAAACAAATGAGAATAAGGGAACTCAACAACTTATAATATCAGCAATGAGAAAAAAGGGAAAAAATGACTAAGAGAAGGTAGACAAAGCAAAAGAAAAAACAGAAACAAGAGAGAAGACTAATGTGAATTAAAAAGGAGCAGATGGAATGTTGTAAGATCTAACTGAATAGATTTCAACCTACTCTTTTTTAAAAATGTTATTAACTTTAGAGAGAGAAAAAAGGGGAAAGAGAGAGAAATGCTGATTTGTTGTTCCACTTATTTATGCATTCATTGGTTGATTCCTGTATGTGCCGACCATGGATCAAACCCATAACCTTGGCGTATCGGGATGATGCTCTAACCAACTGAGCTATCCAGGCAGGGCTCTCAACCTATTCTCAACTTGTCTACTAGTCCTGACCTTATATTGACCCCCTTTACAGACATAAAGTACTATGAATAGTGGAAAATGTTCCAGTCACAATTAATTATCAGTGCCACTAGCTAAATAAAACTTAAAATTTACCTTAATTAAATTATTTATCATACAGAAGGAACTATAACATAGTACTAAAGGACAAGGACTCTGGAACCAGGCTGCCTGAGTTTAAATTCTGGCTTTCCAGTTATAATTATGTGACCCTAGGCAAGTTTCTTAACCTCTGTGTCTGAGTTTCCTTGTCAATACAATGGGGATACTAACAGTACCTATTTTGTACGTACTATAGCTACCCTTGTAAGGTGACCGTAAATTAAATAAATATATTTTAAGTAACTAGAACAGAGCCTAGCACACAGTAAAGGTCTGCTAGTGTGTATTTGGCTTTTTCAATACAATGAATGAGAAAATGCTTCCAAATAATGCTATAGACAATGTCTCAACTAAAAGAAAATTGTTTGGTATACTATATTAGCCAATTAGTATGAGATCTCCCTTAAAATTATTATACACAAAAGTGCAAATATTAAAAATGTTAGAAAAACCTGCTCTTTCACTCCAGCTTAACTAATTCGAGTAACCAGAAGGACTGAACGACTACTTCATAGTCAGTCTTACCCATGTCAGGTCTTTTCACATCACTGACTTTGGCAGGGATACAAAGTCCTATAGAAGAAGACAGAAAACAAATGTTACGCACCGAAATACCTCCTTCATTTAATTAAAAAACAGGAAACCACTCAGAAGTGACACGTGTGTTTTTAGGTCAGAAAAGCATGAGGTGGTAAGAACAGCTGGCTTGACTGGAGAGAATGAGAACAGAAGCGAGCGGGAGGCCATCGCACGCATGGTCGGTGCTCAACAGCAGGAGGGGCGACCCAGAGGCACGGGTATGACAAGAAGCAAGAGGGGAGAGCCAACCCTTCGTACATTAAGTTGCATTTGGTCATAAAGCTGGTTAGTGACTACACTGAAATTACAGCCTAGAATTATTCCCAGTCCACTGCTCATGCTAAAGCACTTCATAAACAAGTGATATTCCTGTGGTGGTCCTATTAAGACTTGTCTTTCATAAATGTCTTACTCAATAGCCAAACGTAAAGCTACTGACACTCTGAGGACAGTCAAGGAGCAGGTTGAGGTTACAGTAAGTACTTTCTCACCCAGTGTTAGACTGCTAAACAGAAAAGCCCTTTTGCCTATATGAAATTACTTTCTCCTCTAAAAGATCCAATTTTCCCAAAAAAAGGAAGTTAAAAGCCTAACTGCTTGGAATTAGGTTAATAAACATACTCTCAGCACACATGCTTCTTGGTAGGTTTCCAAGAAAAGAAGACTAGGGATGATAAGTCACACTTTTATTATTCATAATCCTATCACCATTATTTTTAAAAAGATTGAATACTTCATCAACTACGTAGCAACATCAGGGCTTCAATCTACTAAGGAGACTGGCTGATGCTAACGGGTATTCTGTATGGTCACAATAACGAAGTGCAAACACAAAGAAAGGGGGCTTCAGCTTTTCTTGGCATAGCTACAGACTAAGCAGAGTAATCATCTGATTTACCTAGTCTTGCCAGTGAGGATTCCCAAAGAATTTAAACCTTAGATCTAGGCTGTAAATATGTTTGCAAATGCTCAACTTAACAAAACGCATCTATCCACCTGGAAATTCTCCCAGTTACTTTTTTTGTTTTCCCTTTCTTTCCTTTTTAATAAAGCAGAATCCCCTGGGTCTCAGATTAGGGAAGAGCGGGGAATCCCATCAGCTAATAAACTAGTAGCTTTTCTACGTTTCATTCTATTAGGCCATTTCATAATTGTCATCGCTAGCATTTTTGTTGTATTAAGAAGGATGCCAATTTAAAAGCCTGGTACTCAGCAGAACAAATCCCATGTTAACTTCTTTTGCACTGCTGAGATAGATGTGAAAAGGGAAGCAAACAAGAAATCAAAAAGTCAAAGAATTTTAGAGATTATGTCCAGAGAGGTTAAGTGACTTGCCTAAAATCACACAGATGGAGCAAAGGGAAAACAAAACTCCAGGTATCCTGACTTCCAAGCAAGTGTGATTTCAGAAACATCACAAAACTTCTCATCCTTTGATACAGGAGTGGGGAACCTTTATTCTGTAAAGGGCCACTTGGATATTTACAACATCATTTGGAGGCCATACAAAATTATCAACTTAAAAATTAGCCTGCTATATATTTGGCCAAACATTTAGTTAACTCACCCCTAATGTAATGGCTGGAACTGCTGTTGCCTTGGCGGGCCAGGCCAAATGATTTCATGGGCCCTGTACGGCCTGCAATTCCCCACCCGTTTTAACAGCCTCAATTCAAGGATTCATACACTTTAGCAAGATAAAAAGTAATCCCTAGCTAACTCTGGGGAAATCTNCCCGTTTTAACATCCTCAATTCAAGGATTCATACACTTTAGCAAGATAAAAAGTAATCCCTAGCTAACTCTGGGGAAATCTATGCTGTTTTATGACTTTAATAATTAAAGAGCCAAATTTACATTTTAATACAAATATATCCAGCTTCTTCAGTGTGCTTATGGTACTTTCATTTTGTCACTTTGCAGTAACACTGGTAGAAGGGATATTCAACCCCAATATTCAACATGAAATGCTGGATCTGGAACCTTTGATGCCACCAAATTCTTGCAAGCACAAACATTTTTTCCTTTTAAGAAAAGTATTCCAATAACTCATTTCCTAGTTCACACTGGTCATTAATTTTCCTGAAAGAACATAAGCAGTTACAGATAGTCAAGTGAAGTCAAGTTAGTAACTGAATAGAGGATAATAGAAAATCTGAAAGAAAAAAAATGGCAAAGTCCTTACAGTAACAGAATGTAACAAGTATGGTAAAACATTTATAAGCTCATATACATGCAAAGGGGTGATTATAAAAGAGAATGTTTAGAGCTATTAAGTTATTAGAAAGTATATACTGTAGAGAACCACTGTACAATTAGCTTTATCTAGGACTAAGATGTGGTTAGAACAACTTATGATATGAAAAGGGTGTGGAAGTGATCATGTGAATCACCCTACTATGAACTCTGGAAAACGTTGTTATATGATACAAGTTGTGCTATATATCATCATGTTTTTGTTTTTGGTATTTTTACATATATTCTCTCCCAATTAGACTCTAACATAGGAAACACTTCAACACTCTAACACTTTATATACTAAGTATTCAACTTCTTTCACAAACATTTACTGTACACCAATTATATACAAGGTACTGGGAATAAGAACAATAAGAACTGGTCCGTGCTGCTAAGCAGCTCACTGTCTACTGAAGTCAGATCCATAAATGGATACTTCCAGCAAGACAATAAAGCTGGAGCAATTGGCAGGTGTGGGAGTCAGGTAAAGAAAAGACTTCCAAAGCAGTAGTTAAGAGTTACATCATCTTAGCCTAAAGTAGCAGAACCTGTTTTTCAATCCATTTGCTCTCTCTAGATTTAACTCATCAGATGAGTGATATGAAGACCATCTTTACGGTTGAGATAATTAATTGGAATCAGGTAAAAATGAATGAGGCTTCCAAAATGGAACTGGGGTGGGAGGAGGAAGGGAACCTTTAAATTGGAAGAAAGTTGAGAAATTATGCTTAAAGAGATGCTTAAGGTTCCACTGTAAAAGTAATTTCAAATTTAGTGTCATTTAGCTTTCAATATGCATCCTGAACACAAATTATAAAGATTTAGGAAACCATCTGGTCTATTCCATCCAGAATATCCAATTAGAACCAGAGCCCTAAGTCAAATAGTTGGTAACCGACAAAAGGCTTTACATAAATTTTATAATCACCATCACCCCAAATATAGTAAGTGTACCAAACGTGAAATGAAATGACTTTAACAAGGCTGACTTGAAAGTGATAAAGGAGCAAGTTATTGCCAACAAGATAGTGCAAATACTGCAGAGGCAGCGATAAACAGAAATCACCAAGCTCAAGAGAAACTGGGCATATATCCAGAGAGACCACGTTAGGGTAAACCAAGAAAGAGACGGTTCAAGGGAATTACCAGAAGGCGATGAGCCAGGTAAGCAAACCGTGGCAGTTAAGGGGATTTTCAGAACCTGGGCAGGAAGGTCCAGACGTCTCTTTCTGGTGGTGGCACTAGCGATATCACATCTCAGGGAGATACCAGAGTAAAAGAGTTGGAGAAATGTTTACGTGAGACGCAGAAGTAGTCGAGAAATATCATTCAGGTCTCACGGAAGGCGGGAGAGGAAGCAGGTGTTACAGAAAGCTGATCTTCCCGGTGAAAACAGCTTTCGCGTGAGAGATGACCCTGCTCTGGCGGGAAAGTCCCGAAATCCCAACCGGCCTGTTTCCCCACGAGGAGAGCTGGGCGCTGAGAGGAGGGTTGCGGTAACGGCAGGGAGACCGCCTCCCCACCACCCAGAAGGAAAAGGCCTGAAGGAACGGCCTCTGGGAGCCTAACGGCCGCCGGCCAGGTCGCCGCCGACCAGGTCGCCGCCGACGAACAGCACGGGGGAGGGGAGGTGGTCCCAGGGGGCGGGGCAGAGGGAGAAGCGCCGTCCCCACAGCCGTCCCGGCTTCCGCCCAGCGCAGCCCAGGTTGCCGGGCCCCGAGCAACACTGCCTCCCGGCTAAGGCTCCCTCCATCCTCACCCCTCCCCCAGCTTCCCGCCGCCACTCACCGAACCGGAACCGGCTGCTATACGAAGGGGTTTCCGGCCGGGCGCGGAACGCAAAACCCGGGAACTGCCGCGAACCGGAACCGCCTTCCCAATACCGGAAGAGCCGTTGGGCGGCTGCGGATGAAGGGGGTTGGGCGGGAGGTCAAAGAGCACAATGAAGGACCCGCGGAACGCCTGCGCAGTGTGGCGAGGCCTCAGAAACCAAGGAGGCGTCTAAGGCTGTAGTCATAATTTCCCTGAACCCCTTTCAGTTTGAGTTTTTTCTTGTTCTCGGAACACAGTTAGTGCGCCTTTCGTCCTTCGCTTTTTTGTTCCCCCGACCCCCTTACCCGCCGTCTTCTGGTTCCGCTGGCCGATTTTTGCTTACAGCTCCGGTTTCCATGGCAGCTTTCTCTGTGGCCCTGCATCTGCGGGAACCTGTGGCCCCCTTGGCAGATGTAGACCTGAGAGCTAAATCGAGCTCAGGCTATATTGTGTTTTATTGAGAATCAAAGAACATTGGTGTTTGTAGAGGTTTTGGGAGGTAGTTTAGTCTACCAGTTTCAGAGAAGTGAAGTCATTTCCCAAAGTTATAAAGTGCATAGCAGATCTGAGATTAGGAAACAAGTTTCTTAATTTGCAGTCCTGTACTCTGCACCACGCCATGCTTGATTGGCCATTTGGGAAACGAAAAAGGAAAAAAATTAAAGCTTGGGATTGGCATAGGTTAGACTGTAAACATGTAGAAACCTCCAGAACTCGGTGGAGTTTGAAACACTGGTATAGGTGTGAGGAAAGCTGTTGGGGGTCCACCAGAGATCTACTTTTCTAAGTAAAGAGGGGAAAGGACCAAAAGGTCTGCCTTCTGAAGAATTAAGTGGCCCTGGTGGTGTTCCTGTGACTGCATTGATTAACCTACAATCTGTGCCATACTTTTTAAGAGAAAACAATGGGAGGAAATATGTTTGTTCATTCAGAATTTTAACCAAGCCCCTCAACTCCTTGGGCCCCGTCTAGAAGTTCAGAAATGCTTCTGAGTAGACCCAAATGACAGCCACAGTCTGAGCTCAGACTTGATGAACGGAAGCCTCTGGAGGCCCCCAGCCTTTTAGCTCCTCTTAGCAGCTGGGAAAAGGAGGTGCTTGCCCAGTTCAGGGCATCTTGCTGGGTCAACTGTATAAAACTAGATTATTTGTATCACTTCATATGCTGAATTTTAGTCATAAGGCCTATTAGTATTGAGCATACCTGGTCCGTGTCACTTTTGTCCGTCTTAATCATTTCATAAATCTGTTCATTTGGATTAAACTCTCTCTGTTTCTAGGAGACAGCCATGCATAAAGAGGAAATGCATCTGAAAATTTTCATGTGTGTGATTCAATCTCGCCAGTTAGGCAGGACTCCTCAGAGAACAGGTACCGTTGTCTCCTGAATGGGTTCTCTTGAAGGGAGTCTCAGTACAGGATGTGAGACTTACTAGTGTAAATGCAGACTTTAGGAGCCAACCTCCTTTTTTATTCCATTCCCACTGTGATAAAATATTTGTCAATCAGTCATTGTTTTTTCCTGGTACAAGTATCAGGTGAGAGTTTGGCCTCATATGTGGGGCTAAGCCCCAGGCAGATAAGGAGGACCTGGAAATGGAAAGAAAGTGAGACTTATAGTACATGAGCTGCTAGTTGATTTCTTGTCCTTTGTGAATTATTTCAGTCTTTCTGGGCTCACTTTTGGGAGTTCTTCTTGACATCGTAATTGATACTCCAAAGCCTGTAAAATAAAGAGTCCCAAAGAAAACTGGCTTTCTCTTCTACCCCAGTCTCAAAGAATCTAGTTACATATTCTGCTTTTACCCATTTATATCTAAGGAGTAGAACCTTTCTGAGGTAAGATAGTTGTTGAGAAGAGTCATCACTTTTATGATTTTTCACTGGATTTATGGGGAAACGGCCCTGGACAGCCGAGAGGCATAGAGGAAATGAAAGTGAGTAAGGAGCACACTCCCTTCTCTGGATCCTACCCTGAGGGTGACCTAAAGATATTGTTTCTCAGCTGGGGAAGCTTCCACTTCCAGCATGCTCATACAAAAGACACCACCTGAGACAGATGTTTCGAAGAGTCTAGATTCTATGGATGATCCAGACACCATTGAAGGTATACCTATTTTTAAAAATGGTGAGGCATGTGGTTAAACAAGGGGGAGGAATGTGGAAAGGAGTACTGGAAAGTGAAAAGTTTATGCATAGCATTATAATTTAGTATAGACCTACCAAATTTGAAATATGAGTTAAAATACAAGGGAAAAACTGTGTGTGTATGGGGGCAGGGAGGGGAAGTTGAGAGAGAGAGAGATCATCTTGAAAACTGTAGAAAGAGGGACAGTTCTCTCTGAAGAATAGTGTGATTTCATCAATAGTAAGTCAATTGATGCCCTTATAATTATAAGCTACCAATCAGCAACCTTGACAGATAAAAATGTGAAACTTAAAAATGGATTAGATTAAGGAGTTATATTGCAAAGTGATTCCAAATATAGTAAAAAATATTCACCTTAGGAACCATTTAATAACAAATTTCTCTTGTATATATTAAGTAGTGTTCAACTCATAAGCAGTTTATATGAAACTTCAGAAACACATCTCTGTTCCTTCTCAACTGAAATATGTCTATATTGGAGTCAGTTCCTGCAAATATTTATTGAGTTCCCACTATGTGCCCAGTAATATACTTGAAATGATAGAGTTTAAATATAGGGTGATGCAAAAAAATGTATACACACACTTCGAATAATTATGAAGTCAGTGTTTATTAAAATACATTTCATTTTCAAAATTGAGCTATCAGCTGTTAAAGTGTGTATATATTTTTGGGGGGACACTGTGTGTGTGTGTGTGTGTGTGTGTGTACACATAACCCTGCCATTGTCCCAATAGTTTACATTTTAGAAATTCCTTAGAGGTTATGTGCCCAACTCTCTATATTTTCAGAAGGAATTCAGGTCTGAAGGTTTTCCTCAAGAAGTTAAATTCATTGGAATAATCACTCCCAGCACTTGTGAAATATATAGCACAACTTATTCAATAATTTTTTTGAGCATTTACTATTTGAAGTCATTGTACTAGGCTCAATAGGAGATGAGGAAATGAACTAGACACTGCCCATCCCCCAGAAGCTGCCGATTAAGAAAGGAGATAATAGGAGACAATGTGTAAGTTAAGAGTTTGATTACTTTGGTTCAAAAAGTTGAATTTCAAAAGAGGATGTCAATTTGCTAGGATGCAGTGTCTCAATGAATTGAGAAGATACTTTTGATAATGACAGTTTTACAGCTTATTTTATACATTAGCATCAAAGGAGGAGCTCTAAGGGGGGTTACATGAAATTCTTTGGTGGTAGATTAGAGAGTCAGGAGAAAGCAAAATGGGGAAATCTCTGAGATTGGGTGAAGAGTAAAATGGAGAGACACATACTTCTTTTACATGGCTGGGTGTAGATAATTAACAACATTTACAGCACAGAGAGATGGTCTTCAGGAACAACATAACAACGAGGGGTTCTGTGGTCTCAGCTCTGGTGCTGTGGGTATGCCCTGAGGGGTCTGGAAAAGATTTCTCTGACGTTCCCCAGGTTCAAGCAAACAAAACACAGAGGTATGTTATCTTAGATGCAAAAAGACAATAGACAGGCTTACTTAAGTAAAGATTGACCTTTGTCAAGGAAGCTACAGGCCTAGGATGTGACTACCTGCCATGAGCCCCTTTTAGTCAGGAATTTTTATGTTCAGACCATTGGATATGGTTACTTTCAGTCTCTGAGTTTGTAGGGCCTGCCATGCTGGCTCCCCTGAGCTTTCAGGTTTAGTATGTGGCTCCTCTTTTTGGTCCATATATGGCAAGTGTGTGTTGCCTATGTCCCTTTAATCAGATTTGCTTTGCCCATGCATAAAAAGCCACTAGGTACAAGAAATAAGCCCAGCTGGTGGCCTTGTCCTATAGTTTCTTGAATTTGCATAGATTATTTCTTTTTTCTTAGTGTTTACTTATTGATTTGAGAGAGACATCAATTTGTTGTTCCACTTATTTATGCGTTCTTTGGTTGATTCTTGTGTGTGCCCTGACGGGGGATCAAACCCTCAACCTTGGCATATCTGGATGATGCTCTAACCAACTGAGCTGCCTGGGCAGGGCTTGATTATTTCTTATTTGCCCTCATCTTTCCTGCTTTTCCCATTCCCATGTTGCTCTATACCTAACACTCTCAGACCCCCACCTTTGCTCTGATGATCCATTTGAACCTACCTCTGTGGTTTGAACTCAGCAGTATCCCATGGGAAAAATTCTGATGTTCAACTTCAGCCTTTAAGCATTGAGGCCTCGGGTAAGAGCTACATTTAATTCTTCCAGCTTTCCCACTAGAGATGCGGAATCCAATACCTTCCCTATTAGCCCTAGTGGGATCGCCATCCTCCTATTCTGCCTTCTCCCTGTCTGCATCTCTGTTTCATTTCCTTCTGCTTTCCTTCTTACCTCCCTCCTTCTCTCCCTCCTTTTTGTTCCTTCTGAGAAAATTTGCACACGCTATCAGGCTTTGTAAACAAAATAGGTACATTGCCCATCATGAAGTTTATAGTCTTGTGGGAGTAAGATAGTAATCACATAATCACACACATGGTCGGGTCATTAGAAAGGTGCTAGCACAGTGAAGGAAAATAATACCTACCACGTAATCAGAGTGTAAAACAGGAGGCCTAATCTGACCTGAGAAGTCAAAAAAAAACCTTTCTCAGGAAGACCTGAAAGATAAATATGCACTAGCCTGGCAAAGAGGAAAGAAGAGCTCTCTGAAAAAAAGGACAGTGGGGCCCT